CTGTTGATCTGCATCTTCATAACTTGGATAGTCAGTACTTGAAAATTTTGAGCCCATGTTAAAGTGACACTAAACTCAGGAGTCAAATCTAAAAAATGCATGCAAGTGCCCTAACCATTAACAAAAATGTATCTTAATTGTGTATTACTCGGCTGTAGATCCTCGAATCATCTCTGAATTGGTTGCAATACTGTCCTTCCTTCTGGAGGGAGGCTGCTTTTGTTCTCCATGGAGTCTGTGTGGGTTATAAATTAGCCACCACTCCCGTGATGGACTACAATCTCCCATTTACTTTAGCAATTTGTATTGAGATTGTAGTCCATCGTGGGACTGAGCTTAGAGTGGTGGCTACTTTACAACACACACAGAGACCATGGGGAACAAAAGTAGCCACCATCCAAAAGGTAGGACCGTGTCAGCATCAATTCAGAGATGATTTGAGGATCTACAGCCAAGTGATACACAAATAAGATACATTTTTGTTGATACTTAAGGTAGATAAATGCATATTTAAGGTTTAGCTTCTGTGTTTAGTGTTACTTTAACTCAAGAACACCTATGCTAACTATTTTACAAATGTGCTTGACTAGGTACAAACAGGAGACCTGCAAAACTGGTCTGCTGTCTCAAATATGTCTAATACTTGACTAAGGATGGCTGAACTACGAAATCAGAGATTATCCTGCTCAAGTTAGGTTTTCAGTTTAGTATGAGGGTTTACTTATCTATCAACATCCTGCCCAGCCAATTCAGTATATCTGACAACATTCACATCAGACTCTACTCATCACCTATTGCCTACCAATATCATCACTTGAGAAACAGTAATTTCATCCCAAAGTGGTTACACCATACTGAGTCTACCATTGTAGTGGTGAAGCTGGAAAAGTGATTAATCGTCAGATCAAATTATAGTTTTCCAGCCATCAAAAACATTGATGTTTCTTAAACCTGGAAGTATTTGGTCGCTTACCATGAACAAAAGAGATACCCTGGCTGGAGGCTTATACCAGTGTGATATGTTCTGATATTTGTCAATTTCACTGATAACGGTATTATGAGGACATGCAGAGGGTGCAATGGTAATGAATGATCAGCCCCACAGACACCAACAAATAGATCAATTGTCTCAAAACTCTTCTGCAAATAGAGCTCAACAAGAATTATTACAGATTAGACCAATAATACTACCTCCAAATATTCAGATGTGCAACAGTCCATCTTATGCTAACATACCATCACCCACATTCAGGGTTCTCTCCTGCTAAATTATTACCGTTTCCTGAGTACATCTCTTCTGTGTTCAAAGACTCACCTAAAAGTCCTTTCATTAGGGTCAAGTGCTTCTGCTCATCTGATGATCCATATCAGAAAAATTATGTTGATATTATGGAGAGATTTGATTGAAAGAGGTTACAACCTCACAGAGTTGCAACAGATGAAAACTGAGGTTAATGGCACTTAAACCTTGCTCTCCAGACAGAAGATAATGATTACACTATCAGCAAGTATAGCTCTCATTTCGATTTGCTTAAATATTCAGTTGTTAAACACTAAAACATAAGACATCATTCATCTTACAACTAGTTGTCCTAAGCATGTAGATTCATGGAAAAAGAGTTAGCAAACATGTGTTTTAGTCCTTTGTATGCATTTTCGAAATCAATTTATGTAATTTTACACATCATTTAGCACAAGTTTACATGTGTTTCTTATAAAATAAACTGACCAAAAATCCATCAACTGTTTTGTACAATGCAGGTAAACACGACCAGGGCACATGTGTTCATTGGCTTAAAGTGACATTAAACCCTCAGATTTTTTAACATAAACCAATACTGTAATGTGTGCCTTACTGTAATCCATGGTTGTTTCCCTTCTCTTTGCTGCTCTTCCTTTTAAATCCACATGTCTTCTCATGCTTGGGGAGAACTTCCCTTTTCAGCTCAGGACCTCTTCCTGTAGTGCTGGCTCAGATTACAAGCCTATACAAACGGATACACAGACTCCAGGTATCCATTCCAGAGACAAGGCAGTCTGCTGCAAAACAGAAGTTCTGCAGAGCATGAGAACAGATACAGATTTAAAAGGAAGAGCAGCAAAGAGAAGGGAAACAACCATGGATTACAGTAAGGCACACATTACAGTATTGCTTTATGTTAACAAATCTGAGGGTTTAATGTCACTTTAAGCTTGACAACTGCTATTGCTCTATTCACCTTCTTTAAGTCCTTAAATTTTCTGCTAGTTTCCCAATTGCCCTGTTATAAGCATGCTCTGTTTTGTGTGTACACTTAAGTGCATTTGTACTTACCATTTGTTCTTATTCCCCCTGCAAAATCTCACAAATACCTATTGATCCTATCAGCAGAGAAGACCTCATGCATGTGATGGAGGGGGGATAACATTGCTCTAATCTGATGAGTAGATGTTGCAGGAGGCATGTCAAAAGCTGACCATACCTACCTCTGCTCACTACTATCTGGATTGGAAGAACAAACTTTGCTGCCTAAATCCTCCCACTTTTGGCTGCAGTGTCAGGAAGTGCATGTTAGGCACAAATGGAGGAAAATTAGGCTCAAGAGGTAAAAAATGTGTTTTTTGGTTTTCCTGCAAAGCAAGTAAAGAAATGGACTTGCTGATTTATACCTCAGTAAGTTACAAGTATTGCAAATGAAAAGGCTGGGCACACTTCTGCTGTGTGTGTAGATTGTGTCTCTGTATCAAATATTTACAAAATAATAGTAATAACAATAATAGAGAGCAATTTCCAAATGGCATGTCTAGTTTTCCTTAATGCATGGTTGTTATAAACCGGCCGCACAAGTCATTCTTTCTCTAAACCAATTCTATTCAATAGGGACAATGAACTGAATAGCTAGCTGGCCTAATTTCCTATGTTTCATAGTTCATGCAGTATTTTAACCAACATCCTGCTTATAAAACAGTCAATAAACAGCAAATAGATTTCACACACAGGACTAAAGTCGTCAGCAAAAAGTTTATGTCTGTATATTAGAATATCTGCCTCCCATAAGTGTTGGATTTCAGGATCCATATATTATTAATGACAGACTGCCCAGGCCTTTCTACATTTGGGAGCAGAGATAACAGGCAATTACCACCTAAGAATTAATGAGACTTACTCATTTCAAAAATATTGGAACATATTTTCTGCAATAATGGGGGCAAGGAATTAAAGAAATAACTGTAACCTTACAAATCTACTCAGTACACTTCACTTAAACTGCAGCAACACATCAGGGTATATCGTCACAAGATCAGAAAATGAAATTAGATTTAATTTCTTGTAAATGTAACAGTCTTTTTTGAGTGAATCTGATATAGTTCAGGTTTTCTTTTCTTGTAAATGTGGACACACTTTTTAAAAGGGATTTTTCCCCCATTTTTTGGGGCTGGGGTTCCTAAAAGCCTAAAGGGTCTGGTAGGATTTTGGGGGGGGAACCCCACGCACTTTTTTTGTTTGTTTTAACTTGGGGGAGGGTCCCTCCTAACATTCCTACCAGACCTAAAGGGTCTGGTATGAATTGGGTGGGAACCTCACGCTTTTTTTTCATCTTCTGCAGACTGTAAAAAAAAAAAATGTTTTTCTAATGTCACTTTGCTGCTAATGAAATTTTGTCCAATAAACAAAATTTCGACCGGACTACCACTAACAAATTTCGGGAAATCAAGAATTCGGATTAGTTTGCATTCACTTTAGCTGTAATTCGGAATTCGAATGCATCCGAATCTCTGAAGTTCCGAAAATTTGTCCGAATTTCGATTTGTTTGTGTTCGTTTTAGCAGTAATTCGGATGCATCCGAATCTCCGAAAATTCGTCCGAATTTCGATTCGGAACGAAACGAATCGCACATGTCTAATGTGCAGTCAAACTGAGTACAATGCAGCCCAAACAACTTTCAGGAGTTACCTCAGACATGTGCAGTCAGACAGACAGAGCTCAATGCAGGGTATGAGAAGTAAAAGTAACCTGCTGATCATGCACAGGCTGAATGTGCAACAGTCTGCTTACATTTTCCTGATTAGGGCAAGTGTGTACGGCATGCAGAAACCTGTGCTGCAGTGCTGAATAACAATAAGATGTTGAAATCTCCAGGTTGATCATTACACTTAAGCTGAAATGTACACAAACAAGTGAATTTATTTAGAGCAGTGACTCTCTCCCCCTTCATACAGTTCACCAAGATTTCAGTAAGAGATAGTGAGGTTAATTTAATAAAGGGGAGTAGTCTGTTCACTTTGTATGGGAATTTTCAGTTGGCAAGAAATTTTCCCTTTGTGAACGTGGTGAATTTCTGATGACTTTCATTATTCAATCCTGTGCACGCACAAATTTTGTTTTGTTCTTTTTTTTAATTTTGCTTGCACATGATTGGATATTGTTTGCAAAGTGGATTTCACCACATTCACTAAGCTAGGGGAACATTTATTTGCAAGGCGAACAGTCTACTTGCCTTTAGTAAATCAACCCCAGGAGTGCCCAAGGGTACAATCTAACAACCAGCAGATGGTGAAAGCTCAAGGCTGATCATTACACTCAATCTGAAATGTACACACACACACAGGTGCTACAGGTGCATTGTTTAGAGCAGTGATTCTGACACTCTCACTTCATTTTATTTGAGCTTTTCAGTGTGCGCCTGAAAGGAAACTTTTGCTGTACAGTTCTCTGGGAATCATATGCTGTGTTTCTTAGGTGAACCTATTGCATGTGATATGTTTGTGCTTCGTTATCCATAATGCTTTTACTAATGACTGCTGAATCCAGCTTTACTGTCACAAGCCTAGAAGTAGAATAGCAGATTGGTCTTTACCCTATGATGCTGCAAGAACACATAATACATGGGCTCCTTTTCCTCGATAGCAACTACTGCTAAAACTAGTGTTTGAAATTCAGATTTAAAAAGAATCAGAAATAAAATACATATAAAACTAAACCTCACCTGACTTTGCTTATTCAAGACCAACAACTCACCATATCTGGTACGTTTGTGGTGTTGTTGTCCAGTGGTATATTTTTATTCTCATTGTCATCTTCGTCATCCAGCAATATCAGCTCAGCGACATTATCAGCAACCTGTGATTTTAATAGGCCTTCATTGCCCGACTGTCCTTGAACTGTCTGAGTCATGTTTAAGTTATTCAGCAAAGATTCAGAATTATCAGCCAAGGTTAATTCCGTCTGCTTGGGACTAAACAGCAGTGGTGGCATATCATTACAATTATTTTCTTTTAAACCATTCAATGGTTGATTAAGCACATTACTTACAAGTTGCTGCTTCTGCATGTCAACAGTCTGCTGAATAAATGGTTCTCCATTAGCATTTCCAAAATTATTACCCAAAGTGTTTTCTCCCTCAAGTGTACCAACAACCCCAGAAAACCTGTTTGCTTGAGCCACATGCTGCTGCTGCTGTTGCTGCTGCTGTTGTTGCTGCTGCTGCTGCTGCTGCTGTTGCTGCTGCTGTTGCTGCGGCCATTTGTGACCACCTTGAACATCCCCACCCAGCTGGGTGCTTGTGGCTGGTCTGGGAGGGCGGCTGATGTGCTGAAAGTACTGCTGAACTGGATGCTGAAGAATTCTTGGTGCTCCAGGGGCTTGAGTTACCATTACTGGTACAGTTACTTTGTAAAGTTGCCCTAAGTTAAACAAATGCAAAACATTACATATATGGATTCATTGCACATAAAGTACGTCATTGCTATCATCTTGTGTAACACGGGTTAAAAATATATTGTTTAAATACAAGTGCCATGTATATTTTTACTTAAAATCTTAGGATCCTTTATGTATTTTTAACAGATTAGTGCAGTAATTCAAAATGAAACCGCTCATGCAGTTTGCCTCTGTGTAGCAGTTTACTGTAACAAAACCAGTCAATGCTGCTCAATCTGTTTGTACAGAGTGACTGGCCTTGTATCTATCCCCCTGTAGTTTCCTACAGGCAGTCTGTAGAGGGTGAAGCTGCTGGGCTCCTCCCACATCGCTGCATCACAGTGATGATGTCACTGCTGTTTATAAAAGGAAATATCTGGGTTTTAAAAAACCACTTGGTGCACACAATTTAGTAATAAGATTATGTTCAAGAGGGGAAGGTCCTACAGCCACACCCATAAACCTTGTTGCTCGGTTTTCTCCTGCTGCCCCCCCCCCCTAAGGGAAACCAAGGTCGTGACTATTGAAGCCTCTGCAGTCCTTTTTTGCTCACTCCAATGGGAGAATAGCTGCTGCTATATTCATATATGGTTACAATAATCCACAGTAAGATATTGTACTTTTATACACCAAATCACCATTTTGTTGTAATGGAATGAGGATTTTCTAATGGTACTTTGTTACCTTTTAGTCATATGTTCCTCCTGAAGAAGCCACGACTGTGGGGAAACGAATAGAGGATTTTCCACAACAGTAACCATCCTTTCATTCCAACTAAGGACTCACTGATCATAACTTATCATCTCTGTATACGAGTATACAAGGTTTATGTTTACCAAGTTTAGGCTGAGCACCAATATGCATATATGTTTTCTATGTTTCGTATTTTTAATGTCTTTAATAAAATATTATATTTTTACACAATTAAGTGTCTGTGAAGGTCCTATAATTGCCTAAAAAGCCATCTATGACTTCCAGCCCTTAGCCTTTTGGCTTCGGAACTGTCTTTTTTGTCTACAACTTGGCACACACAATATTAATTTATATAATTATGGCCACTGAGAAATATATTTAAATGGGGACTTTTGTGCCTAGTGTTCAGCTCCGATTGTACTTTAAGCTGAAAAGAGAAATAGGCTAATATTTGTAAATAATGGGGAAGGTATACATCCGATCTCTCTAGTTTATGGAGTTGCTTGCGCCCACCTATTGCTACGATGAATTAAATATTTAAGCCTTATTTGAGGGTGATGCATCAACATGAATAAGACACTTAACCAATAATTACCTTCAAGGTCAGTATGGCAGCTCCAGAGAGCAGTAACACAGATCAGTGTAAAATACAGTAAATAAAAGATGTTTTTATCTTAAAATACCAACTTACCAGAAGCAGTTTGCACTGTCATCCCAGCTGGTAGATGGATTGGATATGTGATTCCATGGGGTAAAGTAAATGAACTGTTTGAGCCTGATGAATTCTGGAAATACATTCAATAGGTTTATGGCCTTTAATTAGATGAACCAAACTTGCAGAAAAAATGCTGAACAATTGAGTCCTACATGTTATACGAACCTCTATGTCTTATTTTGAACTAAAAAAACACTCTTCAATAACAATACTGCACAGCACAGATTTTCAATCTAGCTGATATGAACATGCAACAATGCTCAAGTCAACCAATATCACCAAACTACTTCAGACAGTCCTGGCCAACTAGTCTCAAGGAAACATAATTTAAATGACCTTTTCAGCCAGTCACTATTGCTTCCCCCAGGATTAGGTGAGAGATCTCTGCTTGCTCTGTATTACCATAAATAAGTATGCATGTGTATTCAGGGAAAACATGGTTACTCAGTTGGGATAGTGTCCACACATCCTTATGCTATCAAATGGTCTATGACTAGCTATATTCCAATTATGCTCGTTGTTCTAGAAATGTCCCCCCTTTATAAAGCTGTCAATTTGTGAGAAGTATACAAACTGCATCATTAGTTAAGCACTATGAAAGCAGTGAACATAATTACTTCCTCTAAGCTTGCCTGTTTTACCAACAATTCTCTTTTGTTCACAAACTTTTAAAAACCAGTTCAATGTTTTTCCAGCTAGCCGTCCCTTGTGCTACATAACTTCACTAATAAAGAAGTACTTTAGCATTTAACTAGAGCAGCATCTAATAAGGAAATATACCCTTTTGTTAATAGATTAATGATGTTATTGAGGGTTGGGAATTTACAACCTACAATTTATAAGGGGTTAAATGTGAAATCCCCATTGGATTTCTTCAAGTCAATGGAGGTCTTCCAGGGGGCAAGGATCCCTTGCTAACTTGAACTGTGGACATCTTAGTTTCACTGAAATTAATGGTCACAACTATAACCAAATAAATTATATCATACAATGGTGGAATCAGACACAGAGTAGTCAAGGCTGCAGCCATGCAGTGCAGGGAATTTGGACTTAAATTCCACCAGGGACACTATTCATTCATTTTCTCAATTTTTTATCTCCATGTTGTTTCCTCCAGGTGCATTTATTTTTGTTCGCAAAAGCCAGAAAACATTTTTGTGGATGTTTTTACTTAACAAGGTGTGCATGTGCTTATAACAGGTATAGGAAAGTTGGATTGTAAACCATGTAAAAGGACAAAAGACAGATATGAATGGTTCCAAATACTTGGTAATGTGAACTATATAACCCCTTGAAATAAGGAGTTTGACCACCTACCATATCTGTTCCTGTAAAATTTGAAATGTTTCTATTCCCTTGGAGGACTAAAAAATAAAAAAGAGAAATATTATATTTTTATAAAAATACAAAATTCTTAAAAACACACACCCAGCTTTTTTTTTTTATTATTGTAGCTGACCTGTCCCTTTAAAAAAGTTGGCTTTATTTTTTCTTAATTTTTTTAATTGCTTGGGCTAGTTGACCAATTACTGTACATATACAGTATATGCCATTTTCTCATTCAAGGAGAAGCTAGGTCTAAAAATCTTTTAAAGTGGAATCCAAGAATTCAATTCCAAACCAGTGGCCAGAACCAAGTCAAGAGACAAGTCCCAACACTGAGCTTTAAAAATAGTACATTATTTATGCAAGACTGAAGAGCCACTAAACACTGCCCTCTAGAAAAAAAAAACTAAGTTCATAAGCAGCATACATTTCACGTAAATAAAATAGAATGCAGACCAACATGATTAGTAATACCTTCCAATAAAGCACAGTGAATCATTTTCATAGTCAAGCAACATGAAGACACAGTTTTAGGTATAAAATCTAAACCAAAATAATGGTTTACTTTTTCAAATGACTTGTATCTTACAAGAACACAGCTGTTCATATGAACTATTTTTGCACTTTGCATGAACCCCATAAATCTGCAAAATGTTTTCTGGGCTTGTTTTTGACTCCGCAAAGAGCAAAATGTGCTTTGATTAATTATTGAATGATATTAAAAAGCACTGCCTAAAAATAAGTCTGCTATTAAACAGGGCATTCCACATAACCTTATTCATCCCAGCACTTTTTCTTATAGTTACATCTAGACCATAGGAAAGGGTGATTGTTATTAATGATGAGAAAAAAAAGAAAAAAAAAATATCTGCTAACAATTCATGAGTTTAACAGAAAAGAAACTAATCTAAAAATCTGTAAAATTAGTTAAATAGGTGCTTTAAGGGCATTTTATGTGGGAGGGATGCATTTTATTTGTAACTTTTAGTGGAAATTGTAAAAAAGTATTGAAGAAGTAACCTAAAGCCAATAGAACAAAATTAATTTTAATTAATTTGGGGTGAGAAGGAGGTAGTGTGCAGCAACAGGTGATGATAGTAGATGGACCTCCACAGCAAAACAAAAAAATTGGATTTTTGTACTCACCGTAAAATCCTTTTCTCTCCGTTCATTGAAGGACACAGTGCAACAGATCGTAGATCCTGAATGGTAGGGTATATCGCCACCTGCAGGAAAAGGACGCTAGGCACACAACAAAAAGACAAAGACAGCCTAGGGGCAGCCCCTGCTGGTGGCCCAACCCCCCAAGTTAGACGCCAAGGGCCGCTGGAAAAGCAGTCAATGCAGAAATTTGGCTCTTCACCGTGCTCAAGGCCAACCCTTGAGCCACACTGCGCTGCAAAAATGCAAAAATTCTGCTGATCGAGAACAAACGTGGAGACAGAGCCCCAGCCTCACACCAGGCAAAATAGGCCCTCCACGTGCGATGGTATATCTTCCTGGAAACCGCTTTGCGCACCATGAGCATCGTGGAAATGACCACATCGGACAACCCCCGGTCCCTTAGGACCTGGCTTTCAACAGCCACGCCATCAAAGCCAGCGACTGTAAAGAAGGATGGAACACAGGTCCCTGGGACAGAAGATCCGGACGCAGAGGCAGCCGCCACGGGGTGTCTACCACCAGCTGAACCACGTCTGCGTACCGCGCTCTCCGAGGCCAATCTGGGGCCACGAGGATGACGGCGACGTCTTCAGCCGTGATCCGTCGCAGAAGCCGAGGCAACAGGTAGAGAGGAGGAAAGGCATAAATCAGACTGTAATGTTTCCAGGGAGCCACCAGGGCATCCACCTCCACCGCCCAGGGATCCAGAGTCCGGGCTACGATCTCTCTACCTTCCGGTTGAGTCGAGACGCCAGAAGATCCACATCCGGTGACCCCCAGCGAAGACAAAGCTGATGAAAAATGTCCGGGTGTAGGGACCATACTCCCAGGCCAGAACCTGACTCTCCGCCCAGGAGAGGATCCTGGACACCTCTCGACTTACAGCTATGCTTTTGGAGCCACCCTGGTGGTTGACGTACGCCACCGCGGTGGCGTAGTCCGACTGGACCGGAACCTACAGACCCCGAAGGCGACGGACTCCTGAAAGAGACATTGGCGATCCCCCTGTCAAGGGATCCCCCACGTCCCACAGTAACAGGATGTCCCTCTGAAGAGTCCTAGCGTGGTGCTGTGCAAAGGGCACCGCCTCGAAGGAGGCCACCATGAGGTCCAGGACCTGCATACAAAAGCGAAAGGACGACCACCGGCGAGTCCGAAACAGACGCACGCTGGAATGGAGTTTTCGGGAGCTAGTCCTGAGGAAGAAAAACTCAGGCCACAATGGTGTCCATAACCAGGCCCAGGTACTCCAGTCACAGGGAAGGCACCAGACAAGACTTCTGGAAGTTCAGGATCCATCCGAACTCCCCCAAGGACTGCACAGTGACCTCCGGAGCAGTCACCAGAGAAGAGTGCGACACTGCCCGCAGAAGATCGTCCCGATACCCTACGATCGAGATCCCCGGCAACGCAACAGCGCCAGAACCAGGGCTAACACCTTGTTGAGCACCCGTAGGGCCGACGCCACGCCAAAAGGCAGCGCCAAAAACTGGAAGTGCTCTTCCCCCACCGCGAAACGAAGATATCGCTGATGAGACACAAATGGGCACATGAAGGTAGGCATCTTTGATGTCGACAGAGGCCAGCAGATCCCCCTGACGGAGATACGCCACTACGGACCTGATAGACTCCATCCGAAACAGACAGACCCACACCTTTCCCCCCGAACCTTTCTCCCGAACCTTTCCGAGGATGGAACCGGCACAATCACCCCCTGGAACAGGAGGCCCGCCACCGTGCGGTGAAGATCCGCCAATCGTGGAGGGGAAAGACATATGTTGGACGGGAAAAACCTGTTCCGGGGACGGGACAGAAATTCGATCTGGTAACCCAAAGAAAACCAGACACCGCACCCGGTGTCAGAAACGCGAGCCACCCAAAAATCCGCAAAAGGCCGAAGGCGCCCCCCCCCACACTGGGACCCAGAGCTGGGGCCAGACCTACATGCGGACGAGGGCATGCCAGCAGGCTTGGCAGACTTAGGCTGCGAGGGACGTTTGGCAGTCTGGGAGGGAGGAGGTTTGGAGAACTTACTGCCCTTCTGTGAGGGTGGAGGGGGCCATTTGTGAGCAGAAAAGGAGGGACCAGGCTTCCGCCGCTGTTCTTTTTTCCGCGTCTGAGGTAGGAAGGCACTCTTACCCCCCGTCAAATCCTTAATCTCACATAAGGGGGTACCGATAAACGGTCCCCAGTAAAAGGGAATCTCCTTCAGAGTTTTCTTGGAAGCCTGGTCAGCCGACCAGCATTTGAGCCAAAGCAATCAGCGAACCGTAACCGCCGCCACCTACAGTGTCGACACCAGGGGTGCCGCATCCAGGGCAGAGTTGCTGACACACCGAAGGCCCTGCACCAATTGTTCCGCCAATTCCACACAAGCGGGAGGAACATTTACCTCCGCAAGCCCCTGATGCAACATCTTTGCCCATACTGTCACAGTCTGGGAGACCAAGGCAGGAGCCAGAACCGGGCGCATCAGGGTCCATGAGACAGAGTACATAGTCCGTGAGACCGCCTCCACTGTCTTATCGGTGGGGTCCCGAAAGGACGGGGAGTCCTCCACCGCGATAACCGTAGCCTTGTTAAGGCAAGAAACCGGAGGGTCCACCGCAGGGGGAAGATGTCCATTTAGCCAAAAAGCCCTCCTCAAAAGGATAGCGAACAGAGAAACATCTCGGAACTGCGAATGACGTTGCAGGTCGCTTCCACTCTTTATAAATGAAATAATCGAAAAAAGGGATGTAGGGGAACACCCAAGCGGAAGGCCTACCCTTAGGTGTCCCAAACTGAACTGGCAGCAATGTGGAAGAACCGGGAACGTTTTTGGTGCGTTGGCCGGGAAATGAACCCGGGTCAACTGCTTGGAAGGCAGCAATGCTCACCACTATACCACCAACGCTCCTTAAGTTTGAGGATCTCCCTAACCGCCCGCATCAGTGCCGAGACCAATTCATGCTCCTGACCCAGGAGCAAAGCCGCCGACTCGTCCTCACTGCCCGACTCCGGTTGGGAAGAACCCCCAGGATCAGGGTGAGGGGACACCGTGGAAAGCTCCCCTTCCTCCTCGGACTCCCCCGACAGGGCAGGTGAAGGCAACGACGTTTAATGCGCGTCACAAAGCCATCTATGGCAGAAGAAAAAACTTCAAGGGACAACGCAGTACCCACGGTACTGCCCAAACGAGGGGGGCATGAGCGCCTGGGAGAGAGGCGCCGGTGTACAGGCCACACAAAAAGGGGGGAATGAGAGGAATCAGCAGAAAGCAGCCCACAGACCTCGCAAGGTAACGTGGGCGGTGCGTTCCTGCGTTCCATGATACCGCGCTCACACCTCCCCACTGCCTCAGGAACAGGAGACTGTCACAGGCAGAGAGGGACCCCAGCAGTACTCACGACCCCCGCGTCTGAAACACCACAGCAGAGCCATTCGGAGGAGAGCTGCACACGTCTGGTCTGCAGACAGCCACGCTGAGGAAAGGAACGCCCCCTTCCGGCCCGTCTGAACTAGGCCAGGTACCAGAGCTCCCCACAGGAAGTGACAGTGGCCGAATAGGGCGCCTGCTCTCAACGAAAATGGCAGCCGCAAACCCTCCAGAGGCCGCAACTCAGGCCGGGGCTCGATTATCGGCCACGGCCGAATTTTATCTCAGATATCCCCAGGCACCCTCACACAGCCCCCACATGTAGCGGTAACGCCACAGAGGGCCCAGCAGACTGCCGACACTGACTGACAACCCACACTGCACCCATGAGGTATGGGAAAGGGGGGGAGAGACAGACAGGGGCCCAGTGTAATACTAAGCTGTGGCCCCCCACCACAGGACCCAGACCCTCACAGCACGTCGTCCACACGGGGGGCCATCCAGCGGGTAGGGTCCATCCGCACGTCCCAAGCACAGATCCATACATACCATACCAAGCGAACTCCCCAAGTATCACTGGCCGACTCTAGCAGCAGGAAGGGGAAGCCTCACCTCAGGACGTGCAGGAAATGGCGGGAAAACACCCTCGACCGTGGTCGCGGCGCCGCCAGCCTGTGTTGGCCACTTTGACTGTCAGGCCAAGACCTCCAGTCATATGCACCCCTCCGGGCCAAAAAGCCCACAGGCGTCGAGGTAATACCGGCGCAGCCGAACCACTGTAGCTGGACTGCATGCGCTCGTTGGTCACACAGGGGAGACTCCAAGGATCTAGAATCATCCAGCATGTCTAGTAGAGAAAATTGCAATGTCTTTTCGTCAGAGTTTTAGTCCTATTAATTTAGTTTTTATTTAGTTTTCGTCGCTGAAAAAATGCAGCAGACTAAAACTTAGACAAATTTTTTTTATCGCAGAAATTAACACTATTTATAACCCAACCCTGATCTGTACTTCTCCACAACATTGTCCTGTTTGGAGAGCTCCTTGGTCTTCATGGTGCCACTTTCTCAGTGGTGTTGCAGACTCTGGGGCCTTTCAGAACAGGTTTATTGATACTGAGATAGTGTAAACACTTAGATTGCACAAAGGTCGTCTTTATTAAACTAAATATGTGACTTCTGAAAGGTAATTGGTTGCACCAGATCTTATTTTTTAAAACAAGTAATTTTTTCACCATTTTGGACTATTTTGTGTGTCCATTACATCTAATCCAAATAAAAATCCATTTTGATTTTAGGTGGTAATGCAACAAAAAAGAAAAATGCCAAGGGGGTAAATAATTTTGCAGGCGACTATGCCCCAACATGTGCAAAAAAATAAATATGCAGTGTAGCACATTAAGATGTATAAACAGGCACTTAATGTGCACCCCAGGAATCAAAAGAGCATCAGCCTCCATCTGAGCCTTCCTACATAGAGATTTTGACAGATTCTGCTTGTTCAAAGCCTTGTTTGTACACTTTCTTTAATTCATATTCAAGAACTCTAAAAAGACAAACACAATTAAGCCAACCTGTTGACGTATGAAGAGAGTGATGTAAATGCTGCGGCAACTGAAGAACAAATTGTGGTACGTTACAGTGATCTCTGAAGAATCCCTCTGTAGCTTTGGACTGCATCACTTTGGTTTCCCATAACTATAACAGAGAAAAGATATGCCTTTTCAACTTTCGCATAATGCACTTCAGAGGGCACATGTACTAGAGGGACATGCTTTTAACATGCCCTGCGATTTTGCATGTTAACAAATATGTGCATTACAGAGAAAAAAAAATAGCGTGGCTATATTTATGTGAATTGTCACTTTAAAGCATACGTGTGCTTTGCCCATGAAAGACAATGCAACAGGTCTACTTTAATGCTCCCCTACCTTGCAGCACATACTAACCTTTCCTTCACATTCCCCACCAATCTGTTCAGCCACTGAGAGGGAAGGGATGAAGGAGCATGTGACTTACTTACTTCCTCTCATAACACAAAATTGCTGTTTGGTGATTGGCTCTATGCTGTCACATGGGGATGGGAAGAGTCATCAGCCCCATGTAAGCTCCTACTAAGAAAATCAGAGCTTACACAGAGCTTCATTTCCTTGTGGCTGGGAAATCAATCAAAAGTGTATATACTGCTGGAGAAGGACCATTAAGGCAAACCTTTTATTTTGTCCTGCATTACTAAAATCTTAATCTTTAACAAGTTGTTAAAATTTCAAAAGTCATGTTTAATCTTTTTTTAAATCTGCAGCTTTTAAGAAAATAATTCATGGCGATCCTGCCATGAAGGTCCTTGTTCGGGAACTTCCTGTTATAGGGTGATACTTCCTGTTATGGAGAAGAGTAAAAAAAAACAAAAAAAACTCTTTAATATGTGCGTTGAGAATTTAACGTAAAACTAATGAACAGAGTGAAAAAACAAGACGAAGCATCCACCCCCGTCAATTAAGGTGCGTCACCATGTCTCTCCATTCCGCTAGTGATGGAGGATCTTTTTTTTTGTTTCCAGTGCAGGACCACCAACTTCCTAGCATAAAATAGCAATACTCCAGTCAGTATGCGTATGGCAGTGGTAGGAGCTACCTGCTCGGTAAGCCCCAGTAAGCATACGGAGATGGTTCGTGGGACAGGAAGTGTTATCACCTGTGAAATAAATTCTGTGACCAATTGCCAGTATCTAGCAATCCCCGGACAATCCCCAGAAAATATGGCAGAAGTCGGCCGGTTGTGCCGAGCACCGTGCCTGGTACACTGTTGATAACGGTTTCCGGACCCCTCTCTTCGGAGCATGGACTCCAGAGGCGTAACCATGAGAGAGCAGTGCTGCCCCCCCATCTGCGCCTGATAAGCATGCCGCAGCTGGATTTTTTTCAGGATTGAGGGATTTACAAACTTCGTCCCAAGCCCGAAGGGTCGCTCTCATAGGGGCTGTCAGGGGATAGGGCGCCCCTGCCCCCCTATAGACTAACCCCAAAAGTGCAGCGTAAGACCCCAGCAACGCCGCCTCTGTTACCACTGCAGCATCTCCCTCCTCCGCAGTCAGCCAGCGGTGGGCCACCACCATCTGTCACGCCAGATAGTACTTATTAAGGTTTGCTAAGGCCACGCCCCCCTGAGTCCATGGCTCCTGGAGAAGACTAAGCTTCACCCGCGGAGTCCTGGAGTTCCAGATAAAAGTGGAAAATATTCCATGCATCTGCTTAAAAAAGGCATTAGGGATATGCGCAGGTGCATTGCGTATGAAGTATAGCAAAACGGGGAGCACCTTCATCTTGATGAGGTTAGTACGACCAATGAGGGTCAGCGGCATGTGCATCCACGCCTCTAACCTGCGTTTAGTGGTCAGGAGTAAAGGAAATACATTGAGTTTATAGTAGTCATCCACTGCAGCAGTGATTGTGACCCCCAGGTAAGCAAGTCTGTCCACCCATTGGAGAGGAAGGTTTGGGTCCGCCTGTTGTCGAGTCAGCGGACTCAGTGGTAAGATGTGTGACTTTGACCAGTTCGCCAGCAACCCCGAGAACACAGCAAATTCCTCTAGTATCTCCAGCACCGCATGTAGAGAGGAGGCAGCATCTGAAAGAAACAGGATAAGATCATCCGCGTACAATGCTAGGCGTTCCTTTACCCCTCCTACTCTGATACCTGCAATGCGCAGGGAGGACCTGAGGGCCACCGCCAGGGGTTCCATTACCAGGGCAAACAATGCCAGAGACAATGGACAACCCTGACGCGTGCCTCGCTCCACATTGAATGGTGCGGAGAGAGCATGACCGATCTTCAAGGCTGCCCTGGGTTTGTTATACAAGATACCTATCCATTGTTGGAATCGTGGTCCAAAGCCCATAGCACGCAGCACCCGGGCCATGAATCCCCAATCCACCGAGTCAAATGCCTTAGCAATGTCCAGGGACACCAACGCTCTAGTGCTCTCTACACATTGTGATAAGTGAATGTGGGTGAAGACCCGCAGCAAATTGGTGTCCATGGACTTGCCAGGCATGAACCCGGTTTGGTCAATATTCACTAGGGAGCCAATCACTCTGGACAATCTAGTAGCTAGTATCTTAGTGAGGATTTTTAGGTCCATATTGAGAAGGGCTATGGGGCGGTATGAGGAGTACAGAAGGGGGGTCCTTGCCGGGCTTGGGAAGGAGTACCACATGGGCCTCCCGAAAGGAATCCGGGAGTCCACCGGACTCTGGAGCAGATGCATATAAGTCCCGAAGTCTGGGTGCCAATTGTTCAGTATACATTTTGTACCATTCCCCGGGTATGCCATCCGGACCCGGTGATTTCCCGTTAGGGAACGAAGCAATGGCCGCCAGAACCTCGGGAGTCGACACCTCCGCATCCAGGGATTCCCTATCAGCAGTACCCAAAGTCGGCAAGGATAAGCCCCCCAATAGCCCATCTAGGCGAGCTGGATCGTAACGTGGGATTTCCGAGTACAGGTGCTGGTAGTACCTATTGAACTCCTGGAGGATAGCCAAAGGCTCAGTAATCCTGTCACCCCTCTCATCTAAGATACAGGGGATAGTCGTTTGATTCCTCAGGTCCGCGACCAACAAGGCCAAAAGTCTTCCATGTTTATCACCCCTTTCAAATAGCGATTCCCGTAGTTCCCGCAGGGAGCATCTGGTCACCTCCACATGGTGTAAATTGAGGGCCCTGCGTGCCACACGCAGCGCCTCCAGAGATGTCTCCCCCGGGGAATCCGCGAAAGCCGCTGCACAGGCAGACTCCGCTCTCTGCAACTCCTCCAAAGTAGCATTAAAGTCTATTCTGGATGCCTTGATGGCCGACACATATTCCCCCCTCACATTTGCCTTGAAGGCATCCCATACTATATTAGCCGAGGCAGTACCCTCATTCACGTCCCAATAGCGGTCCATAGCAGGGACTACATGGTCCGAAACAGATTCTACACTCAGCCAGCTTGGTGATAGCCTCCAACACCCAGATCTCCCCAGACCCGGGAGCAGCAGGGAAACCGAGAGGGGGACATGGTCCGACAATCCTCCTGGCAGGTAGGTGGCTCCGGCAACCAGTTGTAATAACTCCCTGCTGCCAAAGCCCAAATCAATCCGGGCCGAGGAGCCATGTGTGCAAGAGAGATGGGAGTATGCCCGCTGTCCTGGATTTTTCCACCTCCAGATCTCCTCCAATCCGGCTGTGTCCGCCCAGGAGATCAGCTCCAATCCAGCGGGTCTGGCCACTTTGGAGGAGTCCAGAGAGGAATGCAAGATGTTATTGAAATCTCCTGCAATTAGGACAGGCAGCAGAAGGAAAGCCGTCAGTTTATGAAAAACCGTTTAGAGGATCTGCACCTGGAAGGGGGGTGGGACATATACATTGACAACAGCAATCTGCATCGCATTCACATTGAGTATTAAAATGAGAAACCTGCCCCCAGGATCTATGATGGTATGAGCAACAGAGCAAGGAAGGGACCTGCCAATTAGGATTGATACGCCCCTTGCATACACAGAATAGGTGGCATGGTATGTTTTGTGAAGCCACGGGCGTCTCAACGACAAAACTAGGTCTATGAGCAGGGTGGTCCAGGCAACTGAGCTAGGCACGACGGAACTCCTATCGCAAAGCATCCAGCCAATCCCCCGCCTGAGCCGGAGTGTCAAGGTGCCTGAATGCTGGACTCGGAGCCTACTCGGATAGAACATGCCATACTGTATTCCCTTTTCCCGGAGTCTGCGTCTCACGTCCACAAACGACCTCCTTCTTTTCTGGATCTCTGCGGAGAAATCAGGGAAGAACCGGAGCTGTGCGTTGCCGCAGCACAGGTCAGGGGACTTGCGAGCCGCCGCCAGGACCCTGTCTCTGTCTCTGTAATTCAGGAGGCGGGCCAAGAATGGACGTGGAGGGGCCCCTGGGGGAGCTCGATCCGTGGGCACCCAGTGCGCCCGCTCCACTATGAAGGTGGGGGGCAATATGTCCATCGCCAGGATTCTCTTGAACAGGGTCTCAGCAAAGAGAACCGCGTCTGCACCCTCTTCCCCCTCTGGGACACCCACAATGCGCACATTATTCCGCAGCATGCGGTTTTCAGCATCATCCACCTTTGCAGCCAGCACCCTCATGGTATGTTGCAGATCAGTAAGTGTGGTGGTATTCCCCTGTACTGCTTCCTCCACATGCGACACCCTCGACTCAGCTGTGGTGAGGCGCGTGCGGATTTTATCCAGGTCGTGGCGGATCAAGGTGCATTCCGCAGCCAGATGATCAATCTTGGCTGTGAGGGTAACCTGGCACCCCTCGATCGCCGCAAGGATCGCGGAGGTCCCCGCTCCCCCTGGAGGTTGCGATTCCGTGCCCCCTGAAGTAGAGATCCGAGATGGCTCCTAACTCACCCCCTCCACGCTGTCTCTCTCCATGTCCAGCAGCGGCAGGAGAGGCCCAGGAACGAGCACAGGGGAAGCCAAGATGGCGCCGGTCTTCCCTGCACCAGAGCCCTTCACTTTCCGGGTTGTTTTTCTCTGGGAAGCGGCGCGTCTGCGGGACTTGGCAGACATCGATCGTCTCCCAGGTGAGTCTGCCACAGGATAGGGATAGCGAGCAGAGGCAACGGAGCTTCACCAGACACGTGTGCTCCGGCTCACATCGCGGCCACGCCCCCCAAACATATC